AAATATAAATAAAGAGCAAATAATAACAAAACATTTGCTAAAAAGTGTGTTTTAAGAATTCTCATATATAAAACAAAATAAAAAGTAAAAAAAATTAAAAATGATTGTTGAAACTTTAAGCGGTGCTTCTATTTAATAAAGTCCAAAAAAATTTTAGCATTTGCAATAAAATAATATATTCCTTATACCTTATAAATCATTATAATCAAATAAATCTATAGCTATTCTAAGCTTATTTGCATTTTAGTTGCCTGGCAAATATTATCGCGGAAATTATTACACACACACGCACAACAGTAAATAATCAATTTAATATGCCAGGTAGACTGGCAATAAATCGCTTCTACAGCCAACAAAACCAACAACAAATAAGGTATGCAAAATGCTAAAACTTACAGGCTTTCTTCGAGTTGATTTGACTTGCTCACGAATAGCATTAATAATGTCTAATTGCTGCAACCATCCACCGAATGACTCAGATCCATTTATAAAACCGCAACTTTGTACTACAAATATGTATATGCACGTACAAAAGTACATAGCGTGTGATCAAATTAGTAAATGACTTTTGCACTTCATCGTTGATTTAATGAGCGCAAAGGAAAAATAAACAATTGAATGGAAAGGAAAGCGCATTAAACGTACGCAGAGGCAGTCGCTCGTTGTGTTAATTTGTTCAAAGTAAACAAGCGTTAAACCAATTCATTAACGATAGGCACTAGTATACTGCTCGCATTGGCATCAAAACAAAAATCAGCTGTTTATCAATAAGCGTGTCTAAGTATGTGTGTCGCTTGTTATTAGCGCGCAAATCAGCAACTCAGCAACGCTCAGTGTTAACTACTCTTTAATTCGCATGTTCTCTGAGAGATTTTTAGCGCATTGAATATCATTTGAATATGTGCATATATGTATATATTTTTATTATTTTGAATATTTATTGGCATCTTTGCGTTTTCCTTTCTTTTTACCTACGTTAATTCGACAATTGGGAGAAAAAGAGATGAACGAGGGTTTTAGCAAAACAACTAACAATTTTTTGTGCGAACTTACTGCTAGAGTATATCGCGTCACTATAGTTCGGTGGCGATAATGGTTTATATATGTATAAATAATTAACACTATGTAATACAAAAAAAAAATATTTTTTTTTCCATTTTTGTGTTTACTTTATTAAAGTTATATAAGTTTAGAATTTGGTGTATAAACTCAAGATAAAATTTGAACCGGACAGGGCCGCCAGATAAAGCTTTCACTAATTGACCTATAGAGGTGAAATGATCAAACCAAACAAAACTTTTGAAGTTCATTCGCTTTGTGTGCGCACTTTATATGGTCCTCTGAGCTTGAGTGTGTTGTTTATTTTAGTTTTGTGATGGAGCATTATTTTTTCCATTTTTATTTTATTATATGCTTACTATGTTTACCAGCAATTTTTTTCAACTTATATACAAAATACCATATTTCCTTAGAACAAACTAATTTGGGTACTTATACGCCCTGTGGGTTCGCACAAGAATTTTTGTCGGTCGTTTTTATTGCTCATACGCCCTGCAGACATTGCAGAGTCCTTACCCAAAATAAACTAATAATTTTTTGCTATTGAAATGGGTACTTTAACTTGTAAACTTAACTTTTTATGCTATTAAACTTTTTTTATGAATATAAGCAATTTGAACAAATATGGAAGGGCTAAGCTCGGATGCAACCGAGCATTTTTTACTCTTGCAACTTGCAAAGACCAAAGACCGACTCAGATTCTATACTCATCCTGATTATGTATACATGAATATCCCAATATGTATCTTGCTTAGTGTTAGATGATACATATAACCATTAAGTGAACAATACTATTGATACTACTACTACTACTACTACTACTACTATACTATTGCAAGATAATTATAAACCTGTTCAACTTATGGACAGAATTATTTTTGTAAAAATGTTGTTATAAAAACATTTATAGTTATATACTAAGGTATTTTTAATTATGCAGATTCGCAAAAGCAGCTTTCAATTAACAAAGGGGTGCTAATTATTATTTCTTCGGAAGTACAGTGGTGCTTTGGTATGCATTTATTAAGCATGAAGTAAGAAAAATAGCACTTATAGATCTTCTTTCACTATTAGTGAAGTGTGTGTATTTTGATGCTATTCAACAAGTTGAAGTATGAAACTAATTCCGAAAGATTGGTGTATATGAAGAGAGGAATTGCCATGAAAGGCGGTTTGTTTTAGCAAAAGTATCGGCCGAACGATGTTAGAGAAACCTTGTTGTCAAAGTTATAAGCAATTAAAATATAACAATGCCGATGATTACTTTTGAAAGTTACGTCAATTTAATAGATATAAAATGCCTGTTCAAAACTAACCCTCTTAGGGCAATTTTTTCAAAAGCCTTCTTATTTCGGCAAAGAATGCTTTTTTTTTTTTTTAACCAGAACTTAACTGGCAGATAAATAAGCAGCTTCTTAGGGAGAAGAGAACGTACACCAAACTTCAAATGAACATCTCGAAAACAGAGGGGCTAGTTTACGCATACACAGACGGACAGATGGATATGGCTAAACTAGCACAGCTTGGTGCTATTCATTTATATATAGACTTTATGTGGTCTCCGATGTTTTCTTCTGTATACTACATACTTACTTCTTCCAGGGTATAAAATATTCCAAAATCGAATAAATTTCAATATTACTTACGTTCATTATTTATTATTAAATATATTCAAAACAAAAACAAAGAATTACCTAGTAACTTTAATTATAAATAAAACATAATGCCCTCTTATATTAAATATGTATGAACATAAAAATAAGTAGCCATGCACTCAGCCTTAGCGACTACCGCAAATAAAAAACACATTGAGGATAGCACGATGGCACCGTACGGTCAGCGAACAAAGAGCATACATATGGAACAATGACGATAGCAGCAGCATTGAGCAGTCATAAACACACACACATACCTAAAGAAGTTTAATTTATATATTGAGGTGTTTATATGCCCTTGTTTCTGTGTGTGTCGCTAATCGCAAGCAGACGCTGCCAAACAGTCAGTTGAAGCGGACAGCTGTTCCTGCTTACTCGCTCCCCATATTCCCCGCCACCATGCGTCGGCTATTGGAATTTTAACAATAGCTATCTATCAACACAATGCTTAGAATACTATATAAATTATTTGCTTATTTTGCTGAAAAACGAAACTTCGATGTTTCAATATATTTCAGTACGTTCGGGAGCACTGTCCAGTGCACAAAAGCGCAAAAAGGCGAAGATCCACTAGACGGGAATGGTTACTAAATAGTCGATCGCGAGAAATTTGTACGTGATTATGGGATTTCAATTAAAATTTCACGCGATTGCAGTTAAAAAAAATTGCGCCATTTGCACTTTATGGCAAAACGAAAAAAAAAAAAAAATTTTTTTTTTGCTTCAAATAAATTAAAAAATAATTATATTTTGCGTTGCTACTGAGGAGTACTCGTAATTGAATTTTGGTTTAGACAGATTTTTTTCTNAGTAGGCAGAGTCGGAGAGGCGGAGGCGGAGGCATCGTAGTGGGACGTAGGAGGTTTTGATGGTTGTTTTTTGATATTTATACATATATATATAATTTTTTGAATAACTGTGGCGCGCTGGAGATCGTTTTCGTTAGCCTCTTTTGGCCTTAAATGCATATTTAATTGCATTTCAAAGGACGAAGCAAATGTGAAATTATTTATTAGTCGGTAGGTTATATATACGTGTGCAAAAATTTTTAAATTTGTGGTTTTTTAAAATAAAAGCCTTAACAATACGTGTGGTCAGTAAGTTGAGAATATTTCAGTTGAACCGAAGTGAGAGTTCGAACTATAGCTTATGTGCCAAATATATATGTACATAATATAGCTCATTGAAATTTTACGAATTTGTTTGAAAGTGAAAAAGAACTAAATTTGAATTTTGAGTTATCGAAAAATTTGAGTGCAGTGAAAATCTCTAAAAATTTAAAGCAATTTTAATATTTTTCTTTAATATTTATCCGGAAAAATTTATGAAATTTTTTTTGTTTTAAATGCAAACTCGTATCAGAAAAGTGCCACAAAGGTTTAAAAAAAAGTCTATCGTCATCTGAACTGCAAAGAAGCATAACATCGTAATTTCATAAGTTTAAAGTGAGAAGTGAAAAAATATATAATAGAACTCATTTATATTGAAACAAAATGTGTGTTTTCGCTATAAAATGCTTATATATTGGTTACAAAATGGTTATATATTCGAATTTTTCGAAGATATGTTGTTTTGCATTTTAAGATATGTGATAATATATGTGATAAATATTTTTACTGTATAAATGAATATTAAATATTTTATTTATATTTTACGTCTAATTTCGCCAAGGAAGGTCATATAAATAAACAAATTTCTTATCAAATTAACTTGCAGAGACAATTTTTTTTACTTCATTTTTTTTTTTTGTTTATATTTCACAGCTGAAGGCATTACCAAATTTACTAATAGAAAGACAAATACTCAAACATACATACGTAGAATTTGAGAAATGTGTTAAATCACTTTGAAAACTTTATCGCTTCAAAATGTGCAAAAGTCCACAAATCGCTTGGAGATTACTGATACTGCAATAAATATTTAATTTAACACACAATTCCTGCGCCACGCGCACCGCGCACCGCGCACCACTCACAGCAAAACCACTGCGCAAATACAACGACGTTTCATGACTTCACAAATGTGGTCAATACCTGTCTCTTATACACATCTAGATGTGTATAAGAGACAGCACAATTCCTGCGCCACGCGCACCGCGCACCGCGCACCACTCACAGCAAAACCACTGCGCAAATACAACGACGTTTCATGACTTCACAAATGTGGTCAATACACCACACTCTCCCACCCAAATGTATGACAATGGTGAAATAATTGCGAAACCACTTAAAAACAAATTAAATTGAACAGCAACACTACAAGTGTTAAAAAACAATTACCACCACAATGAAATCGATCTTTGGCGGCGCCAAACAACAACTCAGCAGCTGCATGCAGCAGGACAGTGATGATACACCACCCGTTATATTGGTAGCCAACAACGATTATAACCACCATCAACATGAAAACCACTACCAACAGCACAATGGCGGCTTTCAAGCGCCAACAAGGCGCAATCATTCGCCGCGCCACTACAGCCAACCGCATACGGAGCTAAACGATCACACCGCTAGCGAGCACAACAATAATAACAATGTCAATAGCAACTTTATTACAGCCGTTACGACGCCCATCACCGGCACGAGCACTTATGAGACCTTACAGCGTCCCTTCAAGCACGATCGTCGTCGCGGTCAATGGTCAGCTACGGCAGATTTTTATTTTGCCTGCACAAGTCATGCCTTCGGTTCGATTATCTTCTCGGAGGTGCCAGTTTATGCGATGATTTTTGGTGGCGGTAAGTCTACACAGACGTACATACAGATATACAACATACAGACATACATATGTACATGTAATAGCTTAGCGTGATAAGCCACTGAAATTGTTAATCTTTATTCGTTATTGCAGACCTCAATTCGATTTAATTTTAATTCGCGTAGTACAGTAAACCATTGTCTTTATTTCTGTATGGTCTTATCACTTAATTGCCTAACCTTGCAAGAAATCAGCCTATATAGCATTTGCGGTTAGGGACCAAGAGGAAGTATAAGCAATTACAGTAGCAAAATCTTGCGTCACTCGACAGTTGCAACTAACGAGGGACGTATATGTGTATATAAATGAAAATTATTTAACTTAAAAAAAAAAAAAATGTATGTTAGGTTACACCGGCTGGCTTGCTCGCCATACATTGACTTACAAGTCTCTAGAAACGCCAGATGAAGGTTTATTATAAATTAGAGCTGAAGTTTACGTCGTGCAGGGCGTCAACGGTTTTTTTGGAAGTTGCCTTGAACTGTAAGGAAAGCCATATGGTTCATCCCAATGTGATGTAATCGAGATAAGGGCCCATCTCTGGCGAAGAACAGAGGTCCAACGCTAGATCTTAAGAGATCAACAACAGCAAGTTACGTTGTTCATTCCAATGCCATGCAATCAAGATAAGGGAGTCCTTTCTTGCTCATCGGCTTTACGGTTTCCAGCGGTATGTACACTATGACCAGGCAACTAAAAGCTCTGCTATAGTCAACCTAAGTGGCCACAGAATAGTACTTTAAAATGTTTTTTAGTCAGTCTTCAATAGCCAAACCAAAAAATACTCCAACTTAAACACAAGTTCATTAAAATGATATTAAAAGCTTTGTTATACCCTTCATAAAATCATATTTGTAAATCACACTCACCTCATATCATTATATTAATTATATTTCTTTACAGTTTTCTTTTTGCCGATGTACTTGATAGCGATATTTTTATATGCCATTCCAATTTTTATAATACAAACCTTCCTGGGACAATTCTCAACTTCTGGATTAATTTCCGCCTTTCGTGTGGCGCCGCTTTTCAAAGGTGACCATATACTATGTTCTTACTCCTGCTCGATAGTTCTAAATATCTGCATGTTTCATTCCTGCCCCAACAGGCATTGGTTATTCCATACTGCTGCTAAATTTAATTTCGCTTGCCTACTACGGCATTGTGGCAGCTGTACCACTTATCTATGCAGCCAATGCTGTGCACACTGTGATACCGTGGATGAGTTGTGATAATGCGTGGAATACGCCCAATTGTTCGACACATTCAACATATGACGCGGATGAGATCTCGCTGGATCCGCATGCGACTGTCGAGTTTTTTCGGTAAGTGTGTGTGTATTAGAGTTATTAATTAAATAATGCCAGAAGTTTCAACTAAATATATCGAAAAACGTAAAAAATGCAGAAATTGATGCATACTTTCAGGCTGTTTATTAAAAAATATTTTATGAAATAAGTAATAATATTCTACACACACAGTTATATCATTCTCACCGATGATAACACGCCGCACGAGTATGTGATATCCTGGCCCGTGCTTTGTGGTGTTGTGGGTGTGTGGCTGCTCGCACTCGGCATACTACTGAAGCGCGTCTCATTTGTAAGTAGCTGAGTTAGAATAAAAAGCAGTTTTTAATTACATATTTGCTTACACACCTCACAGATTGGTAAATTTTTTCGTTGTATATGCATCATTATGTTTGCCATTTTCTTGGCGATATTCTTGCATCTCATCTGCTACATAAGACTTGACTGGGACACTTTCGTGGACTACTTTAAGCCGACGCTGCAGAGCAGCTTCAGCGGCGTTTTGGGTGGTTTGCGCACAGCGATTTTCATGTCCACGTGGTTATTAGGCCCCGGTTGGGGTAACGTACTCACACTAGCCAGTCATAATCGCTTTCATCGCGACAGCGAAAAGCTGACCTACTGGGTGAGCGGCACACATGTGCTGCTCGCTTTTATGGCGATGATTTCTGGGCGTATCGCTTTCGATCACTTCGAAGGTACTGTCAAAGTAATATTTATTAAATGTTTATATAATTAATAAATAATGTATATTTTTTCGCAGATCACGTAGGCTTCCTACACTTTCATTTCGATGAGGAACATTATATGCAATTTCTTTATCTCTGCTTTGCATATCTTTTCGGTAGTTTTACAAGTCTGCCGAACTTCTGGTGTTTCCTTTTCTTCACCATGATTTTTCTAGCGGAACTAAGTGCAATTGTAAGTAATGTCGTTTGTATATACATATATATATACATATATACAACCACAATCTTTACAATTCTATATTTTGAATAAATAAATGTATTCTTGACTTTTCCTTTGTTTTCCTACTAGATTATTCAAATGATGTCTGTGCTGACGGCTTTATTTGATGAGTACGAGCAATTAAGAACAAAGAAATCACGCATTACAATCGCTTTGACATTGCTGATGATGACTGTGTCAATTTATTTTTGCACCAAGGTTAGTCTCTACAATTGTTTGTGTATTTTGTACGTAGTTTATATACTTATAAGCATGTATAGTATAGTCAAGTATATATATAGTAGTCACACTCGTAAATGTAAAATTGCAGATACGCCTGGAAGCTACTGACCGTTCATTACTTTGTAATCAATTATTTAAAGTAAAAGAAAATTAAAGTTCATAGAAACCATATGAGCAAATTTGATCCGGACTGACAACTACTTGAGTACAACTTTTCGCTACAAAATAGGCCCCTGAGCCAATTCAAATATGCCAACACTAAACCCAATTGCGTACATTTTTAGATCGCTATTCGCTGGATTGTCAGACAGTTTAGAAGAAAAATTCATAAACTAAAGTTTTATCAACAGTATGTTGCGTCTGATGAATGTAGGGTCCTCAGGTACGTTGTCGAGTTCATAAAAATCATATGATCAACTTTAACCCGGACTGACAAGAACAAACCTAAAGTACTTGAATACGAATCCCCTCTTCATAATCTCTCTGACTCTGAACCAATACAAACATACTAACACTCGACCAAATTTTGGTTCTTCGATTTCGCCATATTTTTAGAGTGCTTTTCACTGCATTGTTGCACAGTTTGTTGAACGTTGTCGGGCATTTTTTTCCTACCACTCGACGTCGTTTCTGCAAAATGTTCACGTTTGCTACAAGTCTAGCCTTGACACCCAAAACATTGAAAAAAGTGATTGAGTCGATTTATAAGATATTTTGAGATCCTCTGTTCTCACTTTGATTCCAAAAACTACTGTTGTTGTCACTTTTACCAAAGGTAAATGGACTATTCGCATGAAACAAGTTTTCGATGACTTCGAGATTTTCAGTGAATGCTTTCTGTGTTATTTTTGTCCGAACTTCTACTCCAGCGTGATTAGCATTGTTGTTTTCACACTAACTTCAAAATTTAGCTACAATTTAGCCGAGCAATTAATGCGAACTCGGTAGAACTCTACAAAAGTATTTGGAGTACTTTTAAGGCGTTGCATGGGTTTCCAAGGGTAAAAAACAGCATTTTTTTTTAATTTTATTTCTCATATAAAAAATGAAATATTTGATTAGAATTTTTTACTGTTACAAACATGAGCTATTTACAAAGAAATTCTGAAATTTTTGGAAACAAATATTTTAGGCTCGGCCATTCTAGAGATATTGAGGATAATAAGACTGTAAAAAAATAATTGATATTTTGTAACATGTAAACCCATGTAATCCCTTAATAAAGTGATAGTGCGTACGTCTAACTCTCTTCAAAAAGTCCAGCGCCAAACCGGTTCGATTTTATTTCGAATCGAGAAACATTCGTTTAACACACTTTTAAGGTTATTCTAGGTCTACCGAACCATTTATCACATAAGCAAAAACAATAATAATAAGTAAATTTACTTATCTTCTAATTACTACATTATTTTTGTATTTTACAGAAAGGCTTTGAACATTTGGACCTGCTGCCCAATATTGTCATACTCTCACATTTGATTATCTCTTTCGTACTCCTACTCATGACCACCTGGATCTATGGACGCGAACGTTTTCAATGTGATTTACAATTTATGTTGGGCAAAACGATTTCCAGTTTTAAGATATTTCTAATACGTTTTCTAACGCCCGCGTTCTTTGTGCTAAGCATTGTAAGTAGCATGGCAATATTTTGACATACATTATACATATATCTTCTCTCTTTCTCGCTTACAGATACAAACACTTTACTTTTTGGAGCGTGACAACTCACCAACGGCACTGGTTATCGTCAGTCAATGTGTTATATATGCCATAGCGCCTGCCTATATGATTTATAAAATTTGCCAAACCAATGGCACATTGCGTAATAGACTGAAACAATGCTTTGCACCGCACGACTGGCATCCCGTCGATGCTGATAATCGTCGCTTCTATGAGGAGATCATGGGCGTCTCGGAAATGCTAGTAATGGAAGGCGGTGAAGAAAACTGCGCTGTGAATGCTTAAAACTAAAAACAATACAAGCAAACATATATACATACATACAAACACACTTATGTATAACAAACGAACAAATAATTTTAAAAGTCAGAAAAAACGGAGGATGTTCATAGCATTACGTAAATTAGATAAAGTGTCTGCTATGAATCGCAAAATTCTAAATGCGTTTAGTAAAACAATTTCTTTAACTTTACTTTAATTTTTAAATGAAAGCATTTATGGAATAATGAAACGCTATTTTTCATTGATGACGCAACAAATAATACGGAAATTACGATTTTTATTAATAAAACATTATATCTATACCTAAAAAAAAGTATAAAACGATCATATGAAGCCATAAAAAAGCGTAAATCTCTTTTGTACTGACTGAGCATTAAGTAATATTATATAATATTAAGTTCGAACGCATGGCACGCTCACAAAACTGTTTGAAAGCTATGCTGTAACTTGATTGATTAAGACAGTAGGAAATAACGCATATATATATATGTCCGTATGTATGTGTGCCTAGTTATTGGTCTATATGTAAGCGCTTTTATATGTTCAACATTTTATGAAAATCCAAAACCATATATACGTATGTATGTATGTTAGTAATAAGTATGTATGCAGGGGAGTAAATAATATTATCGGAATGCTTTGTAGTTTTTTAAGCTGCCTTTTTTTTATAAGAGATTATATGTCAATTTATATACACACGAACTAATTATATTATACCGAAGTGATATAACAGTTAAGTATACTCGATGTTCATACCAATGCATGAATGTAAGTTTGTGTCTAGTATATATATGTATATATGTATGTAAGTACATACATACATGCCGAAATTATGTACGTAAGTTAGGATATCATGCATCTACTACAGTTATGTACAACAATTGATTACGATATGTAAACATTTTGAAAGTCGAAAAGTTGGAAATAGATTTGAAATGTGAAAAAATACTTGCATATGATATTTCAACTCAGTGCGGATATACATACGTACGTAAGTACTCTACAAAGAAGAAGAGAGTAAAAACGTACGCAAACGCGAAAAAGCTAGCCACATCCGAAAAGTTGCGAGGAGAGAGCAAAGTGTCGGTGCGATGCAAAAGATTCTGAAACGTGAAAAAGAAAAATGCTGAAATTTTGTAATTTTTAACTTTTAATCATTTTTGTACAGTGAAATTTGCCTGCAATTATTAGAAACTAGATATTTTTCACGTAGTAAATACTTAGAAATAATTTTTTCTTTCTTTACACTTCCTTACTTGTTTTGTTCCAGGTCTCTAACAATTATTGCTTTGAGTATACCTGTAAAGCGAAAAACGTCGACTTATTTTGGCCCACTATAATTCAGAGAGATATCATTATAAATTTTTGTATGAGTCAGTGTTTATCAGGCCTTTTACACAAATCAAAATATAAAAACAAGCGAGAAATCGTTAAACTTTAGGAACAGAGTATCGACTTTCCCCAGTGAGGTTTCAAACCGATCCTGAGTTTATTTCTAGATGGGAACGTAAATTGTTTTCCTTTCAACATATTTTAAATATTTATATTACTTCGTAAATTTATTGAATTTGAAATAGAATCTCTGAATTTGGGTGTCCGAACCACCGCGGATACGTCGCTGGCCATCTCTATAGTTGTCAAAGCCATAAAAATATTTTCCCAGTAAACAAGTTTCTCAAAAATTCTGGGACAAAATGACAGTAGCTCTAGCTCTATATAAGAAAGGCAGGCGCCGTGCCTGGCCAGTGATTCTGTGACACTCACGCTGCGAAGTAATGTGCTTTGAAAGTCACAAGGTGACTTCAACTGGAGTTTGCTGCGAGTCGGCTCTATATAAGAAAAGCAGGTGCCATGCCTGGCCAGTGCTTGGGTGAAGCCAACGCCGCGAAGTGGTATGCCTTGAAATTCAAAAGGGGACTTCAACGGTTTTGGAAGATTATTGAAGCCTAAGAAAAGTGAAAGTTTCCAAAATCACTATATTTTTTTTTTTTTTAATCGCGTTGCTTAACATCCTTAGAACAATACTCTCCCATTAGTAGGATATCATAAAACATAGTATTACTGACTATGAGTCTTGGATCTATGCTTATAATCCGGAAACATGCTATTAATCGGCCGAATATCATGGCAAAGGTGAGGTAAGCCAAAGCCGAAAAAACCACGTCAAAGCAGGTCAAAAATCAAAGTGATGTTGTGTTGTGTTCGATTATCAAGATGTGGTGCACTCCAAACTCCTTCCAAACGGCGAAAACTATCAACAATAAATATTAGTTGAGTGTTAAGCGTTGTTTGTGTGAAGCTATTCGTAAAGTATGTACCGTCCCATACTACATTGATTCTTCATGAGCTTTTCGATTTTGACGAATAAATTAAGAATTTTAAAAATATGAACAAAACCTTAGCATTTTTTTCTTATAGTAGTACATTAAGCTAATTTATATGTGTATACATTAGGGTTGGTAAAAAATTAATATTTTTTCGCTTGGTACTCAAACAAAAAACAAAAAAAAAAAAGGTCTTTACACACCTCTACGAAAGTCTCTTCAAGTATGAGCTCTTAATTGCAACGCAAAGATCCTCCGCGCCCCCTTATTATCAGATTTAAAAACTCATTTCTCGCTTCCAGTTACATGAAAAATATTTTGTTTCATAGATTTTATTAAAAATTCAATGCTCCTCGAAATGGTCTCAAAATATTAAAATATGTTAAAGGTTGAAGTTTGATTACACTGTGGAGCATTTTGGGAGTTATTGTCTGGGGGGTGAGAAATTCCAAGTCAGTTGTTGAATGCGTCACTTTTAATCAGCTTTCGTATATCTGGACCATTTAGTACGCCTGATTGGAAAAAATTAATTTGTTAAGATGGAAAACCATGTTAAATAAGGCAAAAATTTAAAAGGTCATAAAAAAAAACTGACACATACGAACGCCAAACTCTTTGAGGGTTTTACTATACTGACCTAGTACCATCACCCTGACTTGGAATCCCAAGATTAGCTGTTGTACTGTGTTATTTAGAACAAATTTAAAAAAAATAAATTTTATGAAATATGGAATATAATACTTTTAATTTATGGCATTGAACTTCAAGTGCTATTAATGACAAATAAGAGAAATTATTATAATTTATTTTTTGATTTTGTGTTCAAAACAAACCATTATTATCATTATCTATATATGTACTGTTATTTACATGATTAGTACACGTATAAACTATTATTATAGCCGCATGCATATAGTAAATTGATAATGGCAGCATTCGTCTAAAAATTAAAATATTCGATTAAATCAAAACAAATCTATAAATATACATATATGTAAGAGAATTTGTATGCACAATTTCAATATTTAACATACTATGTTTGTATATACTCAGCAGTGTGTTTGCATACGCTCATGCATGACTTCAGCGCGAAGAGTTTTTCCGATATCGCTCGATTCGGTCGGAAGCTGAGCAATTGCAACGAACGTGAATGAAACATTCAAGTGATTAAATTTTAATTTTCTTTAGTTGTTTTTACCATTTTTCTCTTTAACCATATTATAATCACTCGCAATAGTTGCTACGTACATACATTTGGGTATGTGAACGAAATTTTGAAAATCGAGCAGAAGCTGTTGATCAGTTGCTTTTCGACACTCTGCGCACATGGAACGCTGTGTAACGGCGCGATTATTGTCAAAATTTGCTGCATTCGTGTTAATTTCTTTTTTGTGTGAAAATTTACAATTTTGCAAACAATTAATTAATTAAATAAGAAAAAAAAAATTAGATTGGCATGAATAGCATGTGTGTGTGTTTGTGCGTGTGCGTCTAACAAAAAAATTTGTTGAAATGATTTATGAGAGTTCTTATGACAGCGGTCGTCTGCCGTACAAACCGGATTTGGCACGTGGCTATTGGAGCAAATCCAGCGACTTTATATTTACCGGCATCAGCTTGGCTTTTCGCTTAGATGTTTTCTCTATAGCTTGGATTGTATTCACATATGCTGGTTGTGAGTAAATATGTCTAAAGCAAAGTTATGAGAAGAGCGCTCAGCGTAAAATGGTTATGTATATTGAGTGGCAGCATAACTAATTGCGCATAATTGTTATTTTTGTTGTGCATATTTTTTGTCAACAAACATAAAAATAAACTTTTCTGTGTGCGTTTCGTTGCATTTTTGAAAAACAATTTATTTTTAGGCGCTTCCGTAATACCGTATATCGCAGCTTTATTCCTATTTGTTGTTCCACTTTTCGTAATGCAATCGTTTCTGGGCCAATTTTCGAGTAGTGGCTTCATAGCGGCATTTCGAATAGCGCCACTCTTTAAGGGTGAGTATTTTTAGTTAAAATATGTATTTAGATATTTGCTGTTTGCTTAGTCTTTAGTGGTGGTAATTAGTTGATAAGAGAATCATAGACTTCTTGGAAGCGCAAGTTGTGTGGCCATATACACATATTAAGGTTAAAAGGCCGAAAAAAAACGAATTTAACAGAATTATTTCTGAGAAAACTTTTTAAATTATTAATCCAAAAAATTGTACACATACTGTAAAATTTATATTTATTTGGAGAAGAACTACAGCTAATCTCTGATAGATCCAAACTAAATCCTCTGAAATTAAAAAAAAAAACAAAAACAAATTTCGTTAAATTCATTTTAAATCTAGTAACTGATCGAAGGTATGAGCAAAATATATGTTTTTGACAAAATGGCGGTTTCGGTGGGAAAAAAATCTTTTAACAAATATATTTAAAAAGCTCGTGTTAAAATTTGAGACTAATCGACTTAGCCGTTTTCGAGTAATGTTGGTCACCAACTTTTAAAACACTATTTCGAGAAAAACTTTACATTTGCATGTAACTTCAAAAATATTCACTTGAGCGATATGAATTTTTCTGTGTATATTCTTAAAAACTATAACTGTATATAACCCGTTAATTATTTACATTAAAACTAATTAATTAATTAGATAATATATTAGTTAGTAAGTCCAATTTCAAGACTGTCAATTAATATCAGAAAAGATAACATTTTTTAAAGGCACGAGAGTCAGGAATTTATATAATTGTTATTCGTTATAATTTCAGCCCAACTAATAGCATGAATGTATTAAAATAGTATAGTAATAGAATTAAAATTATTCCCTTCTAAAAAAAAAATATTTTAATTTCAAAAAAGTACTAATTTTTAATACTCAGGAATTGGCTACATTAGTCTGGCTGTGAATTCGGGTGTGCTCACTTATTATAGCGTTTTTGCTGCCGTACCATTACTATATTTAATACACTCTCTGCGACCAACGTTACCCTGGAGCTGTGAGGGCATCAAGCATTGGTCATACAATTTTACGGAAAACGAAGTGCGACATGTGAGTAAATTTTTTAATATTTGTTAGATTTTTGTTTTCAAAAATTTTATAAAATACTAAAAACAAATTTATACAACTTCATAAAAATATGGTACATAAACAAATTTCATAATTTCACTCTTCCTATTAAAGTACAGGTTAGGATAAGTAAGGCTACACGATAAATATACAGATAAATAAATGAGGATTGCACTGTGACCTAAGGTATATTGTGCCGACACACATAGACGTACATACAGGGTTTGTCCGGAATATAATAGCACTGAGTCAATTAAAAAAATGATTGAACCAATCGTTACGATTCTTTAAAAAATTTAAAAATAGGCTCTTTCTATGTCGATTCAGCGCTGCCAGCGCCATTTAGAAGCATTGAAGGCGTTACGGAAGGCATTCTCCGGAATAGCCTTGAGAGCCGAGGTCCATGCTGCTTGGATCCCCTCTGTCGTTTCATAATGCTTGCCTTTTATCGACCTTTTCCGGCAAGGAAACAAAAAAATTCGGTCGGCCGCATCTGGGCTGTAGGCCGGCTGGGGAAGCGTTGGAGTGCTGGCTTTGGTTAGATACTTTTTCACAAGACAGACGGTGTG